CTTAGGGTCCCTACTGTAGCTCTATATATACAACATTAGGCTCATGGAAGAGAACAGGACAATCCCACTTCCTTGGGAATCACGCCGCCTCCCTCTCTCTCTCTCTCTCTCTTTCCAAGGAGTTCTTCTATTTCTTGTGTTCCACTGATACAAGATCTAGAAAGCTGTTTGAGAATACAGTAGAAGATCTTAAGGTATATAGAGATTCCAATCATACATCCAAACCGGAGACTAAAACCAGCAAGTGACCATACCACGACGACCAGGACAACGAGACGAAGAGATCACCGTCGAGATTGCCGCCGGACTCCGCCGCACGCGCCGCCACGCGCCGCTGGGAGGAACCTGCTGCTGGAATTGTCGTCGCGCGTGAGAGCGCGTGAGAAGGCCGATTTCTGATAGGTCAACGCCGTTGACTTCGCCGTGACGTCAGCTTTCTGGATTGGTCAAGTTTGTTCGATTCCGAGAAGATTTGATTTGTGGTCAACTGTTCGGGCCAGCCAGATCTACATAAATTTTAAGCAGTAAGTTTTCTTCATCAAACCTTTAGATCCGCTGCGCATAGGTTTATGTTGAATGTTTGTCCGTGATTTGTGCATATCGAGATACTCATGGGTTCCAACAGGGGAGCGCCAGTGCTGTTTGTGAAGAAGAAGGATGGTTCGATGCGCATGTGCATTGACTACCGTGAGTTCAACAACTTGACAGTCAAGAACAAGTACCCCTTGCCGAGAATCGAGGATCTCTTTAATTAGTTGAAAGGAGCCAGTGTCTTCTCCAAAATCGATCTGTGGTCTGGTTATCATCAATTGAAGATCAAGGAGTCCGATGTCTCGAAGACCGCCTTATGAACTAGATACGGTCATTACGAGTTCGTGGTTATGCCGTTTAGGTTGAGTAATGCCCCTGTGGTATTCATGGACTTGATGAACCGTGTTTTCCACCCGTATCTGGACCGCTTTGTCATCGTCTTCATAGACGACATCTTAGTGTATTCCCTGGACATAGAGGAGCATAGAGAACATTTGAAGATTGTGCTAGAGACCCTTCGTCGGGAGAAGCTATACGCGAAATTCTCGAAGTGTGAGTTCTGGCTGGATAGAGTGGCTTTCTTAGGCCACATTGTCAAGGCTCGTGGAATCAAGGTAGACCCAGAAAATATTGAGGTCGTCAGTAAATGGGAGACACCGAAGAATGCTAGTGACATCCACAGTTTTCTAGGACTGGCAGAATATTATCGTCGTTTTATCGAGGGTTTCTCGAAGCTGGCCCAACTGTTGACAAACTTAACCAAGAAGAACATCAAGTTTGTGTGGAGCCCTCAGTGTGAGTCGAGTTTTCTGGAGTTGAAGAAGAGACTCACATCTGCGCCCGTGTTGACTATACCGGATCCGACTTTGGAGTTCACTATTTATAGTGATGCTTCGAAGATGGGTTTGGGCTGTGTGTTGATGCAGCAGGGAAAGGTCGTGGCTTATGCATCAAGGCAGTTGAAGCCTCATGAGGTGAACTATCCGACCCATGACTTGGAACTTGCCGCGGTGGTTCATGCGCTTAAGATCTGGAGGCACTATCTCTACAGAGGCAAGTGCGAGATTTTCACGGACCACAAGAGTTTGAAATACATCTTCACGCAGAAGGAGCTCAATATGAGGCAGAGGTGATGGTTAGAGCTCGTGAAGGACTATGATTGCACAATTAGCTACCATCCAGGGAAAGCTAATGTGGTCGCTGACGCGTTGAGTCGAAGGAACCATGGTGCACTGAACTTCATCATCTCTCGGGAGGAA